TTTTTTTTTTTTTTTTCTTATTTGGTTTCAACGTTTGCCTTAATTGGTAATTTCAAGAAGCAACTTGAGACCTGAATTCTTATATTCTATTGCTTTGGATACAATGTGAAGCACGTTGTTAATCTAACCTAACCTCGTAGAGTGATTAGCATGTTTTGTATATCCATTAAAATGTAGAATATAATAATATTTCGCAAATGAATTTTTCACTTAACTTCACTTAAATTCTACGATTTAAGTTTATCGTTATTCCTTTTTGTGGGAACGAACAGGTATCGCGTGCCGCTTAACCTCAAAGAAATTTTACGCGGGCAATTATTGATTTTCTTTATTAACCAATATGTTGAAAATATTTGGAAATTAAAAGAATATAGAGAAAAAATTACAATGGCCGTCTTGGTTCGATCGATGGAAGAACGTCAGTAGGAGTTACATTAGTTATGAACTCATTAACTATACAGATAAAGGGAAGGCGGTTCGCGACGTTCCACCAACTAGAATATGCATGACGTTTCGAGCCGCTGGCTTCTCGGGACTGTGCGCGGAAGAGGGCAGAATTGAATTGCAACGTCAGACTGCCATCGACCGGAAGGCTTAAAAATTAACTAGTAGACCCGGATCTCAATGCGCTAATATGCGTATCGATGCAGATTTGGTGGCGCTGTGTACTCGTCACTCTGTTGTACCGATGCAGTTCATATAATGATTGTTTTGGTCAGATATATTTCTTTTTTTTTTTTTTTAGAGGCAAATGTCTTTTTTTTAGGGAATATGAAATATATATATATACGGAAATAGCATGGTGAAATAAACTGGTATGTATAATAAATATCAGAATTCTATTTATTCATTGTATAAGTAGACGTGGAATATTGAAACAGGGTATATGGATATATTTGAAATGAAACATTTATCTGACTGGAGGATATTTTCTGTATGAAAAATATTCTGTATTTTTCGTTTGATTGCAAATATATAATAAATGTTACGTTAGATCATGAATAATGTTAGGTATAATAAAAGATTCTTTAGATATATTTATAAAATTAATTGAATTCTATATGAAAAATAAAATTACATGGAACATATATGGAAAAAGCTAATAATAATATATATATAAAAATATAAATTATAAGCAAAATAGTAAATACGTCTCTAGAAATGTTTACCATGCGTAAAGCCCGTAAGCAACCATGTACAACTATAATTCGTGGATACCGGAGTAAAAGTCATCCTACGAGTCGTATCTAATAAATTCAATTATCTCGTGGTTGTAACGCGGGTCAAGTTGCTAGCAAGATCAGCCGTAGCTTTTGCTGGTTGTCCTGCTAACAAGACACTAGTTACGAGGTCATTACTTTTACTTGCCCGTTGTTAATCTATAACGATGGAAACACGAGAAGGTTTAAGCAGTTAAGCTGATTTTCTTTACCTCGTTAACCGTTTTCGTTACCTATCAATTGAACCAATTTTGCATCAATATTATTATCATTTTTCTCTTATTCGCATCAATTATTTATTACTTGAAATATTTATCAGAAATATCTTCTGCTCGAAATAAACAACTCGAAAATTCAATTCATAAAAAAGTCATGAGCGAAGCTTCATCTTCAAATAAATTCGTTTCATATAGACATTTTTGCTATCCACGAAATTCTTTACACTATTCAAAAATATTAATCTTCTTATTTCGTTTTTCATTTTTCTCAACAAAACTTTCTTCGAAGTTAAACATTTTATAAAATCTATCTCTCCAAAATTCATCGCGCCCCAAAATCAAATATCGGAAAAACTATCCGAATTAATTACAACACGATGGATTAATTACAAGCACGTTTCCATTTATTTGTTGCAGAGTACTTGATGTCAGGGAATCCGCGCAACTACCCGGCCCGGTCCCCAGGGGTCGCTTCCACTCCGACCGTAACCAGGTAAGCGAGCATAGATACGACGAATTTTCCCGCGCGAGATCTCGATCGGAAGCGCCATATCCTGACGCATCCATATTCCAACAGGCAATAACACAGATTTCCGCGTAAGCCAGATCACGTAAGCGGATTTTTCGCGCGGCGGCCGACAAATCCGCGAGACTTATCGGTTTACCTAGTTGCCGGATTTCGCGTGGTTGAATTAAGCCGCGAAAAATCGACCGTGCTGTTGACTCTGCCTCGTGAACGCGTATCCCTCCCCTCTTCCCCGCCC